AAAAAATGCGATAAATTCACTAAATATTAATGGTAAGTTAATTAAAGATCAAAGAGAAATTTCAGTCAGTATTTATAATTTTTACCATCAGTTATACTCTTCTCACTTTAAAGAATTGGATTCCATAAAATTCTTTAACTACATTGAAAGGTTTATCCCTCAAATTAATTTAGAATTTAAAGAAGAATGTGATATGGATTTGAATATTTCTGAACTTGACAAGGTGATTCAAAAGGTAGCACTGGGTAAGTCTCCTGGCCAGGACGGTCTAACCACAAACTTTTATAAATTCTTTTGGAAAGATATTAGAGAGCTACTATTTGAAGTTTTACAAGAATGTATTCGGAATAATTCACTCTTAACTACGATGAAACAAGGAGTAATAATACTGATACCTAAACCCAACAAAGATAAATCTAATATTGATAACTTAAGACCTATTACATTGCTGAATGTGGACTATAAATTATTCACTCATACACTGGCTAACAGATTAAAAAATGGAATAAATGATTTCATTAGTGAAACTCAATCAGGTTTTCTTCCAAATAGACATATTCATGACAACATCCGTCTGATTCTTGATTTATTAGATTATGAAAATTTGGTAGAAGAGGATGGGGCTATACTGTTCTTAGATTTTTATAAAGCTTTTGATAGCCTCGAACATCATTTTATTATAAAGTCACTTCAGCACTTTGGATTTGGTAAAAAATTCATTGATATTATTACATTCCTATACAAAGATATATCGAGTGCAGTTCTTCTTTCTTCGGGTACGACAACCAGATTTCCAGTTAATAGAGGAGTTAGACAAGGAGATCCTATTAGTCCACTTCTTTTTATTATAGCAACAGAAATGCTGACTTTACTAATTCAAAATGACCAATCAATTAAACCGTTAACAGTGGCAGGACACTCGCTTAAAATAATTCAACTAGCAGATGATACTGCATTATTGTTGAATAGTACCAAGGAAATTCCTAATGCCATGAAAACGCTGTCTTTGTTCTCACAAACCTCAGGTTTAAGGTTGAACGCTAACAAATGTGAAATATTAACAATTCATGATACTGAGGAGTTTCATATTTGCGATATCCCTATTAAGAATGAAATTAAGTATTTGGGTATGAAGATTAATAAAATCTTTAAGGAGAGAGTGGATAACAATATTCAACCGATAATTAATAAAAATCAAAAGATTCTAAATAGTTGGCTCCAAAGAAATATATCAATTTTTGGTAGAATACTTTTAACAAAAATGGAGAGTATATCTAGATTAATCTATCCTGCTTTTTCAGTAGCTATCCCTGACCAATATGTTAAGAGAATAAATAAAACACAATATGATTTTATTTGGAATAATAAACAACATTTGATTAGGAAAAACGATCTAGTAAAACCTATAGAAGAAGGAGGTCTGAAAGTCATTGACTTTGAAGTAATGAATGGAGTTATTAAATTACAATGGCTAAAAAAATTTTTAATTAAGAAAGATTCTATCTGGTTTTGTATTCTTTCATTTCTGTTTGAGAAGATTGGAGGTATAGATTTTCTGTTAAAATGTGATTTTGATCCTCTTAAATTACCCATCAAACTTTCTAACTATATTAAACAAGTGTTGATGTACTGGAAAATGATCTACTCGCACAACTTTAGCCCACATTCCTCCTCTATATGGAATAACAGATTTGTTCTGTATAAACGGAAATCAATGTATTATAAAAGTTGGATGGATAAAGGAGTTTGGGCCATAATGCAGCTGATGGACAGTAAGGGTAAGTTTCTGGAGCATACTGAGTTCAAAATTAAGTATAATATAGACTGTTCTGTAGTGGAATACTCTAGAGTTATAAAGGCTATTTCTCCAGCTGTTGGCCAGATGGTCAGTCAAAGTATTCAACATGGAACAAATACACCTAAGCTTCCCAAATTATCTATAGGTGATTTGAGTTTTACAGACCGTAGATGTAATAACTCTTACCTAAGAGCAGTCTTGTCAAACAAGTTATTCCCTATTCCTGTCAGAAGGAAAGTTCTTTCTCCGATTTTCTCAATTATAGATACTAAAGTCATAAGAACAGAGTTTCTTTCTTACCCTCTTCTCCCCAAAATGAAGGAAGTTCACTTTAAAACAATTAATAATATATATCCATGTAAAGAATTTTTAAATATCAGATTTAATATACAAGATAATTTATGTGTCCTATGTAATAGTGAAATTGAAACTCAGAAACACCTTTTCTATGATTGCAGATCGGTAAATACATTTTGGTCAGATTTATACAATTGGCTTTTATTCAAAAAGAGTTACAATATCCCCTTATTCACATATAATACTATTCAATTTGGGTGTATAGAAAAAAATAATCAGATTCAATTCGTTGTTAACAATTTGATAATTTTTGGGAAATTTTTTATTCACAAATGTCGTTTCATGAAAGTGAAGCCAAACTTTCCTTTTTTCCAAAACGATTTTATGCTATTTTGCAAATCTCTTAAAAAAGTAAAGTCTGTACAGGCTGCTACACTTGTCAGATTTAGTGAAGATCCTGTGAACTAAGGTCCTCTGCCTTTAAATATGTATTTTTATTATTGTGTTATTATTAGTAGTATTAATATTAATATTGTATTTATTTTATTTTTATTTCTTTATAGTGTCTTGTTAATCTTATAACTCCGGTTGTTTCTGCTGATTAGAATATTTCTAATGGTCTAGTTATAAGGTTTTGGGTTATCTACTGAATTGTTCTTTTTGTTTTTGTTGAGTTTTTGGTTGTTGTTACAATGTAATGTGATTGATGTTCAATAAAAAAAAAAAAAAAAAAAAAACCTTCTCCGCTATGGCAAGCCAAAACCGTCACAATACGCCACTTTCCCAACCCGTCTAGTTAAGAAATGGCGAAAAAAATGCCGTTTGATGTGCCAAGACTGTGGCAAGCCAAAACCGTCACAATACGCCACTTTCCCAACCCGTCTAGTTAAGAAATGGCGAAAAAAACGCCGTTTGATGTGCCAAGGCGTCGTAAAATACGGCGAAAACTCTGCCAGAACGCCGTAATTTACGCCGTTCTGAACGGTCCCGTAGAACGCCCGTAAAATACGCCGTTTTTTCCGGACATTGAACGCCGTTTTTTACGTCACCCTAATCCCAGACGCGTTCTCTGTGTGGGTGGTGTAAAATACGGCGTTTGGTACGGACATTGAACGCCGCTTTTTTCGCCGTTCTGTGACATAAAACGCCACTTTTAACGCCACTTTGTGACAGTTTTAACGCGTTTAAAATTCAACTTTACTCTCATTTATGCAGAGCCCTCCCCATGGGTTTCTCATCCACTTAATTTAAACTCCAGTGACCCAATGAAAGACGAGGAGGTTGAGGCAGCACTAATTCATCCCAGATTCGCCGGGCTGTCGGGCTGTGCAGACTACTGTTTTCTAATACAACTCGGCTCTGTTTCAACTAATTTCACTGTATTGAAAAAGCCTTGAAATGTAGTAATATTATCAACAATGTGTCAACATTATTATTTTTTCTGTCCACCTGTAAAAGGCAGAAACGCTGTTTCAGTCAGACCTGATGATTACTTAAAAGTGTGGCTGCCGTATCAGTCTGTCCTCGTGGCTCGTGAGTCCAGCTGAAACATCAGTGCTTTTTCTGTCCAAAACTCCATTCTTCTTAAGTTCATCCACTTTCAGTATTTACTATTGTGACTATGTGTGTGTGTGTGTGTGTGTGTGTGTGTGTGTGTGTGTGCTGTCGCAGCATCCCGATTGATGATGTGCCCTGGCTACTTGGCCAAGGAAATGTTCCTTTGGCTGACTGGTTAGAGCGTATGACTCTTACCCGGGAGTCTGGGGATCGAATCCCGCCCGAGTCCTCGTTTATCCACCTGGCCACACTATTGTTTTTTTTTTTTTTAACGACTGTTATACTTGTCTTACAGGAGCTTCTGAAGATGTTCTGTCTTGCTTCTCCATCATCACTCTCCAGCTCCTCAGACCAGCCACTCCAGAACCTTCCCAGATCCAGGATCAGAGCACTTTAATTAAAGTTTGAAACATGTCTGCTTGTTGTTCTCCTATAGAAGCCTTAAACTAGAATTTGCTAATGAGCTTTCTTGGCTAAAATATGCTCTTAAATGTTTTTATTTACATAATCAAGAAACACGTTTTTCATTGCTGCTTCACCAAGACATGACTCTGAGAATGTCCTCAAGATCCTGAAACGCTGGTTAAAACAAATTACTTTTAACCTCTTATAAAACAAACGTGCCTGTTGATGATTATGCCACTATACTGAAGCACCTGCATACTTGCTACCGATTTGCAAACTTTCTGTAATATTTGATATTTAAGTTGAAAACATGAAATGCTGTAACACAAATTCCAAATGTTGAGCACTTGTTTCTACTCAACTAATCATTATTTCTGTGATTAGTCAGCTTTTTCCTTTTCAATAAACACATGGAAAAATTACAATTATCTTACTGAAAAATGGTTTAACAGTGTTGCACATGTATAATAATCTGCACTGGTTTTCACAGTTACGGCATTCTTCAAACTATAATAATAAAATAAAGTTCTACGGGACCGTTCAGAACGGCGTAAATTACGGCGTTCTGGCAGAGTTTTCGCCGTATTTTACGACGTCTTGGCACATCAAACGGCGTTTTTTTCGCCATTTCTTAACTAGACGGGTTGGGAAAGTGGCGTATTGTGACGGTTTTGGCTTGCCATACTCCACGCCTAGGCGACGTGCTTCTCCCGGCGCTTCTTCTCAAACGTTCATGTATGACGTTGTTCTCCTTAGGCAGGTAATCCGTGGCAGAAATCACTCTCCATACCTACTGGAGCCCTGTGGTTATGTTGTAACCGTAGGCTGCACAAAAACGGACAGAGATGGTTACTCTGCATTTACTTTTGCGACAGATGACACCCATCCAATATGGCGGCCACGCCGTTACACCCTGTAGCGCCCGGTGACTCAGGACCAGAAGTACATAGGCGTGGCTTAAACAATTTCCTTCTAAAATGGCGTCTAGCAGGAGACTTAGGCGCATGGCGGCCTCCCAGCCCGGATTTTTAACTTTAAAACCCTCTTCAGACCCCACAGACCTGGTCGGTGGTCGGAGGAAACGTGTGAACAAGAATAAGAAAAAGAACTGGAACAAATTTAGTGACATTACAGACGTAGAGGAGTTTCTAGAGGACGTTCGGCACCAGGAGAGAACTACGGGGTGAGTGAAGTTTGAATCTCAGCGTGTCTCGTGGATAGGTTAGGACTTCTCAGTGTTGCGTCATTCTGAAGAACTTATTTTTATCCCGATTCAAACATCTTTAACAACCAGCTTTTATAATCCAAATAACAAGGCCAGAAAGAGTTGGGCTCTTTTTGACACTCGCGGTTCACAGTGGGGTCATGGCTGAGAGCTGCTGTCCACCAGGTGTGTCAGCTCCAGAGTCTCCTCCCGGAACTCCTGGAGACCAAATGCCAAATCACATCAGCTGACTCCTCTGGACGTGGAGGTGGAGCTCCATTTCCCTGTGGTGGAGATGCTAACGCTATCCAGATGATTAGGTTAATAGCTCGTTTAGAGAACCTTTTCATGATATGCTAATTTTTTGAGATAGTTTTTTGGGTTTTCATGAGCTGTATGCCAAAACCATCAATATTAGAAACATTAAAAGGCTTGAACTACTTCAGTTGTGTGTAATGAATCTAATATATATGAACGTCTAATGTTTATCAGTACATTACAGACAATAATGAACTTTATCACAGTACACTGTTTTTTAGGACCTGTAATTTATGTGTCATGATTAGGGTTACCATATGTTGACTTCCACAGAAGAACTTTGTCCGTAACTAAAACGGTGAAACGGTTAAAGAGGACTCTGATTTGATGCACTTGGCCTGCTGTGTGAATGTAGCCTTAGTCCCATCTCCTCCATCTGACTGGTGTCCATCTGGAGGTGGTTTCCTCCACACCAGGTTTGGGATGAGCCAATTGAGCTAACCTCCATGTTTTTGAGCGTGGGAGGAACCTGAACGTTCCCAGAGAAACCCTGCAGGACAGATGCGGTGCACTCAGGAGACCCTAGCTGGGAATCAAAAGCATCTTGCCATTATTCCCTAACTGGACCACCTGTGGGATTAAGAGGAGCGTTGCTGGAAGTTATCCTGCTCTTGTGTGATCTCTTTCAGAGGGTTGCTTTCTGAGAAGTCAGATGACGGCTTGTTCTTTGTGGATCTTGGACAGGCAGATAAAGCTGAACAGAAAGGTAAACGTTGTGCGACTCTTCCAAAGCTAACATTTGTTTCTGTATTTGATTGAATGTTTTGTTCTCTAAAGCAGCAGAACCTGATGAGGGGAAGAAGAGAAAAGGAAAATCGACTCGTCCTCTGAGGATAGACCTGATCCTTCAGGGTGATTCTTGCATCCCACCTCCTAAAGAGTCAGTATCTGTTAACACTGGTCACTGTTTACCTGTTGTGGTTATATGTGTACAAGAGAAGCTCTGAAACTACACACCCAGGGTCTGAAATTAACACTCGCCAAATGCGAGTAAATTGCTCCATTTGGCGAGTGAATTTTTGAGCTCTACCTGCCACCTGGCGAGTAAATGTTTGCACCAAATTAGTTATGTTTATCAGTCATCTTCCACGGATTTCTGATACTCCTCCCGCCTGCATGCAGCGTACACAAACGTACGCGAAACGTGAACGCCGCATCCAACGTCCTTTCCACCTATCCCATTCGATCAGTTTATCAAGTTAGCAGTTAGCTTCGTGTTAAAACTAGCGGTGAAATGTGGCGGTTTTTCACTGGAGTCAGCCAGCCTTCCAAAAGAAAACTCGTCGAACTGGAAGAAAAACCACCAGGACCGGTGGCAACCAGAAGATTTTGTGAAAAGTGGCGAACTGGAGATGGCGGAGTCGTGAGACAATGGCTATATTATGATGGCCACGCAGATGTGTCATGAGATTTGAAGCGTTGCTGCCTTTCACAGACACTTTTTCTGCACGTGCTGCAAACAGGATAGCCGTCTTCTATCAGCTGTCCCTCGATATTCTTCAAATATCCAAAAAATGCCCGTACTTCTGACTTTGTCTTCTTTGAGGGATAATAAATGTCCCGAGTGCTGCCGTTTCCTCCTTTGGCCATTATTTCAGCTTTAGCTTCAAGAAAGTTTTGGTCGTAAACAACAAAGTGCGCATGTGCCGCCGGCAACTTCAGCAGATGATACGGTGGCTGGTAAGGGTCACCGCGCCTACACTGCAGCCACGGTAATCCACCGAGATAATAGATTTAAAAAAAAACAAGACAGTTATTATTGTCTACTTTTTTACCGGGGTTTACCGCTACACCGGTTACCGTGACAACCCTAGCCCTGACACACTTTCAGATGTTCTCATGTTGCAGCTGTGTTCTCCAGAGATCAAGGACTAGGACCCAAATGAGGCTGTAAGGCTTTGGCACAAAGACGGTGTCAGAAGCAGGAGGCCAGACTTCATGGACAGAGAAAACAAGGAGTCTGACTAGATTTCAACGAAAGAGTTCATAAAAACATCTCTAAAAATAAATAAATAAATAGTAAAAATGACAAAAGAGTTGTTTTTCTTATTAATTGATGTTTTAATTCTTTTGTCACTCTGTTTGGAATCAACATAATATAGAATAACATGCTTTAGGTAGATCTAAATCATTTAGAATTTTGGCCGGTAAAAAGTATGCTTGGCCGGTAGATTTTCATCATCTACCAGCCAACTTGGCCGGTGAGTAAAAATTTTAATTTCGGACCCTGGACACACCGTAGCCTGACTAACTGTCCTTTCAGACTAAAGCCTGGTTTATGCTTCTCCGTCAGCTCCGTAAGGGACAGACACGCACGGATTGATGGAAGCATTTTGCTTTCATAGTTCTCCGTCTCCTGGAGAGTGTTGCAAAGCAATTCCCCGGCAGGGCAACAGAGGGCGTAGCGCTGTTCTGTGGTATCCTGTCATGTATCGGTCCAAGATCGTGTTTATATTGTGTTTTTTGTGTATATAAGAGACTTTTAACACGTACATATTTGTCTCTCATTCTCCCACCGCTTCATGCGCTCCCCACCTCTAAACCCACGTTTCCTGTCATTTCCGTCCACAAATAAAACGCTTGCTGCGCATCTTTTCACTCCTCCAGTCACAGGGAATTAAACGTTAATATTTTAGAGTTTTTTCGCGAGGTATTCTTCAAGCTTCTCCGTGTCTGCCGCTAGTGATCCTCGGCTCTCTTTGCAGTGGCGGCGCTGTAAACAACAGCGGCGTCCTGACCAATCTCAAGCTTGCGTAATCCGTCTCGTTCGACGGATGTTTAAAAAAGTGGGCTCGACTCCGTACGTACTTGCGTGCCTGCTGGAGCCCTACGCAAGGACGGATAATGGCGATGCGTGTCTCCGCACTGACGCAGACGGAGAAGCATAAATCAGGCTTAAGAAGCTAGCTTTGCTCTCAGAAGCCAGTGCTACCTTTTCTTCGTCAGAGTGGAGTGTAGGATTGCAACGATTACAAAGTTTGGTGGTACGATTATAGTCTGAGAAATTATCAGTTCCTCGAATACCACTATTATTTTACATACATGAATTTAACACATCTAAATCTCACACACAATCTATAGATTCATAATAAAAGGTATGATTGCAGTCTATAAAGGTTTTGAACCCCTGACATATCTATTGTTCCTTTTCAAGTATTATGCTTAGAAAAATTCACTACTATTTATTTGCAATGCTGATGTTTTACCTCCACAAATAACACAAGCCTGGAGGAGTTGTGCTGTGTGGTGGAGGTGCTAATGCTAACAGTTAGCTTCTACTAGCTGAGATGTTCTCTGCTGTGTCCTGGGCACTAAGCCAACATCAGCCATCCCTGTCGTGAGTCTAAAGATGGGTGAGTCCATGAATGTTAGTGACAGTGTGACGTAGATCTGTCAGGATTTTCTAATCCTAGAGTTTCACCATCTGTTTTATATCAGAAGCTAAAGCAGGAGGTAGGTGTAGAAGACTATTTTCATGTTCAGCCTGCATGAGAAACTCAGTGGCCAAGTTCAGTTGGAGCTAATTAGTCTGCGTGAAGATCTCAGACGATAACAAGTTGGGAGTGTCGCAACTTATTGTCTGCCAGCTGTGCAGAAGGACGAGACGTCGGTCGTTCTGAATTTCTCTTTTAGCAGCTTTTGGGGTCTAAATCATCCCCTCACAGGAGACTTGTAACCGTTTCGTATCTATACATGTTAACAGCATTATAATATTATATTTGATGGATTAAATATCCATAAGTCGGACCTGTTCCCGGTGAGGGTTGGACTCCGCCAGGGCGTCCCTTTGTCACTGATTCTGTTCATTACCTTTATGGACAGAATTTCTAGGCGCAGCCGTGGTGTGGAGTGTGTCGAGTTTGGTAGCAGGAGAATCTCGTCTCTGCTTTTTAAGGATGATGTGGTCCTCCTAGCTTCATCCAGCTCTGACCTTCAGCTCTTGCTGGGTAGGTTTGCGGCTGAGTGTGAAGCGGCTGGGATGAGGATCAGCACCTCCAAATCTGAGACCACGGTTCTCGACCGGAAAAGGGTGGCTTGCCAACTCCGGGTCGGGGGAGAGGTCCTACCTCAAGTGGAGGAGTTTAAGTATCTCGGGGTCTTGTTCACGAGTGAGGGTAGGAGGGATCGGGAGATCGACAGGCGGATCGGTTCGGCGTCTGCAGTGATGCGGACGCTGAGCCGATCTGTCGTGGGGAAGAGGGAGCTGAGCCAGAAAGGCAGGCTCTCGATTTACCGGTCGATCTACGTCCCAATCCTCACCTATGGTCATGAGCTTTGGGTAATGACCGAAAGAACGAGATCGCGGATACAAGCGGCCGAAATGAGTTTCCTCCGTAGGGTGGCCGGGCTCAGCCTTAGAGATGGGTTGAGGAGCTCGGACATTCGGGAGGGGCTTGGAGTAGAACCGCTGCTCCTCCGGATCGAAAGGAGTCAGTTGAGGTGGTTTGGGCATCTGGTCAGGATGCCTCCTGGACGCCTCCCTGGGGAGGTGTTTCGGGCATGTCCTGCCGGCAGGAGGCCCCCGGGTCGACCCAGGACACGTTGGAGAGGTTACATCTCCAATCTGGTCCAGGAACGCCTTGGGGTCCTGCCGGAGGAGCTGGTGGAGGTGGCCGGGGAGAGGACGGTCTGGAGCTCCCTAGTTGGGATGCTGCCCCCGCGACCCGGATAAGCGGAGGAAGACGAGACGGGGATTAAATATCCTGTCCTGTCTTTAATCCATTATGAACACCGACTACAAAGAAAACCTCTGATGCATCCATGCTGCTCAGTACCAGACCTGTACTGATGTCACTAGTTACAAAAGAACCAATCAGCTGGCAGAGCTGCTGTTGACCGTGTGAGCGTGCAGAACTTACTAAACTACGTGACTCAACTTAAGGAACAAATTAGAATCCAGCTGCTGTTATTTATTTGTTGTTTATAGAAAGTAAATGTATCTGCAGAGTTTTAGACCCCAGACCGAACCACATCCAGACCTGTTAATAATAATATTGTATTATTTACACCAGTCAGAACATTCAGTAATGTTCATAGACATCTAAACTTTAGGAATGAAATAAAACCAATATTAAAATAAAAAATTATGAATATTGTTTGTTCATTAAAGATCAGTTATCTGTGAACACTTTTTTTACTTGATGTTGTCCAGCTGAAGCAGAGCTGAGCTGTGGGAGAAAATATTCAATTCATTTAATCTTCTTTTCTATTACCTGTGGGTTTAGTGCATTCACTTAATATTAATTATAAAACTATAAATAACAGGTCACTACAGTCTGGGCATAGAAAGTGTTTCTAGGAACAGAAGCGCGGAGCGGTGGGGAAATGCGTTTTGACAACGAAACCAACTGGAATACTTTGAATAAAACCGTCTGCCAAATATCCATCCATCCATTTTCATCCGCTTATCCAGAGTCGGGTTGCGGGGACAGCAGCCTAAGGCGAGAGGCCCAGACTTCCTTCTCCCCAGCCACTTGGGCCAGCTGCTCCGGGGGAATCCCAAGGGGTTGCCTGGCCAGGTGAGAGACATAGTCCCTCCAGCGTGTCCTGGGTCTACCTTTAGGTCTCCTCCCAGTTGGACGTGCCCGGAAAACCTCACCAGGGAGGCGTCCAGGAGGCATCCTGACCAGAAGCCCGAGCCACCTCAACTGGCTCCTCTCGATGTGGAGGAGCGGTGGGTCTACTCCGAGCCCCTCCCGGATGACCGAGCTTCTCACCCTGTCTCTTCGGGAGAGCCCAGCCACTCTTCGGTGAAAATTCTTTTTGGCTGCTTGTATCAGTGATCTCGTTCTTTCGGTCACTACCCAAAGCTCATGACCATAGGTAAGGGAAGGAACGTAGATCGACCGGTAAATCGAGAGCTTCGCCTTCTGACTCAGC